AGATCATCATTTTATCATCTCAGAAACCTATCTAGAATTAGGAAGTATTTCACTAAAGAATCAGCAGAAGTTGCTGTTCATGCATTTGTCACATCGAAACTAGATTACTGTAATGCATTACTATACGGCCTACCTAAGTATCAGTTACAAAGATTGCAGTATGTACAAAACACGGCGGCTAGAGTTGTGTTGCAAGTGGGTAAGTTTCAGCATATCACACCTGTTTTGTGCGAGCTTCACTGGCTACCGATTCAATATCGTATTATTTTCAAGATTCTGCTCCTTGTGTATAAATCACTGAATGGGACATCGCCTAGCTATTTAGCTCAGAAACTACATTATCGTTCTCATACTAGATCATTGAGGTCTGTTAGTAATGAACTTTTAATGCAACCTAGATCATATACCAAGACCGACGGAGATAGAGCATTCGCTGTTCATACACCGAAAGAATGGAACTTAATACCCTATGAAATTCGGAAGTCCAACACCATCTCGAGTTTTAAAAGATCACTTAAGACGTACTTGTTTACTAAATTCTGTAATAACAGATCATTGTTTTTATAGATTTGTATATATTGCGTTAGTTTTAATTTTTCCCTTTCTTAATCATTATGAATAAAATAGTTTAATATTTGCTTTAGTTTTAATTTTTTCCTTTTTTTTACTCATTGTAAATATAATTAGGACATGGTTGTAAATTTGTAAATATTTATCAATAATGTTGTTTTCATGACTGTAAAGCGCCTTGAACATAGGATAAGAGCGCTATAGAAATAGTTATTATTATTATTATTATTTGGAAAATATTTTGAATGAATAATAATTAAAATAATATATATCATATTAATACGTATTTCTAGTATATTATTTCTTGATTATGTTTTTTCAACCGGCGGGTGTCACTCGGACAACTCACATGTCCCCGCTTGTAATAAGCATCAATTAGGGTTTTCCGATTTAGCGGAAGTTCTGCGGAAGTGGAACTGGCCTGTTTCAAATGAGTTCAGTCTCTAGCCTTGATATACGTGAAATTCGTTTAAGGCCGAGTACTGTAAGTAAATTGCTGGGTTGTTTATAACTTTACTTTACGAGACCAACTGCAGCGCTCAACTTTATATTATTATTGTAAAGTTACATATAATTCGATTCGCCAAGAAAAGCAGGATTCAAGGAAGTAATTCCCATGGCCAACTCTTTAGAGTCTCAGGCTGAAGAAGACGAGACAAAAAAAATGGAATATTCCTCTTCAGCCCCCAACAAATCACGGCACGTAAATAGTGCAAGCAAAAATCACAACACACCGTGAAAGGCGGGCTTTGCACTCTCAGAACATGTCAGAAACAAAGGTGCTGAAGTATGGAAGGTGATAATGTTTCTAAGGCTGGGTTTTTATACGGAGCGTGGGAAGAAGGTTTTCACCCTATTCTTTCTACCATCAAAACTAAGCAGGCACTCAAACTGCTTAAACCTTCATTTTGAACTAGCTTAAAATGTATGTTTTTCCAAAGAATATGCATGTAACATATGTGCTGCTTTGTTATTCTTTTGCTATTCAATAAGTTGTCATATATGAGGCTTTCTTCTGCAACTGAATGGAATTTCGCGCCAGTGTCAAAAAATATTTGCATTCGCTTAGTTAGTTGGATTGCACCAATAACTATGATTGCACATTCTACCGTTTGTATAAATTTATTGAGCTTTTGCCATAGTTTTCAACCCTCACCCTAACCCGCAAAATGCACAGAGTCGAATAGATATCCACAAGTAGACAAAATTGCGAGATGCGATGCCTGGAGACTTCCCGGCGTCTTTCCCAATTTGTAGGAGAGGAGATATGCAATGTTGTTCCTTTTCTGTTTATAAATTATCGTATCAGTGTATCAGGCATTGGATGAGACAATGAAAACGATTCTTATTTACGTTTGACGTAGCAGATATAGACATAACCTGCGACCAGGCCTCCCAAAGAAAATGGGAAAATCTAAGGACCGCACGTTATCGCAGGTTAATGAAGAAAAATTAGATATCGAGAGAGATTCCCTTCCCGCCCAGGATATCATCCAGCAGACAAAAGCAGATTTGTTTACTTTTTTCCTTGTCAGCGTATGCTTTATCTTTTTTAAACGACTTTTAAAAACCGTTAGCACCGAGTGTGAATTTATTTGCAGCAAACGCTTATTGGCCGAATGCGACTGCTAGACGCAAATACTGCAAATAAATCCTTTTGTTTTAGAAAACATTTACCAGGAATGTTTGTGCTCATTTATCCTTTTACAAGCCAGATATATTGCATAAACAATGACATCGTATCATGCAAAGATTTACTTATAGCGAAAAAAATCGAGATGACCTTTTACAGTATAATGGGATCAATTTCAAATCTCGGAAAAATGGCTCGAACTTCCGCTAAATCGGAAAACCCTATTAGGATTTCCTTAAGTCACTCTTTCAAGTCACTTATTTTTTGTTTTGTGTTCGGGGCTTGTGTCACTAACCTGGTCGTATTCTTCTTATGCTGTCGCTCTTATGCCATCGCTCTTCAAATATAGTCTTCGATGTCGACGTTCAGACATGTAGCAAATTCGGACGTAAACAAACACATTTGTTTCGTCCCCTAATCGTCCTCTGCACCAGTACATCCTTTCTTGTGGTCAGTTCTGCGGTTTCGATCCTTTGTTTTAGTAAAGGCCTTAACTTAAACTATGAAAACACACTGTTTAAAACATTAAGACTTAGTTATTGCATGTGTAGGAATCATCTAAGCTTTGGGTAGAAT